TTTTTTTAAAAAAAAAAAATAACAAAAACCAAACCAAACTTAATTCTTAATTTTATTTTGGTTATTATTTTTCATAACACTTCATATACCAGTGACTTGTAACCGAGAAAGGATTTGCATCGGGAGGAAATCTATTTATGCACTGGGGCGGGTGGGGAGGGAGGCATTTGTTTTCTGGGTTTTTTTGCTAGTGTTAGAGAAATAAAAGTATCTAAGAAACAATGAGGTGTCAGTGTCTTTTGTCCAGAGGTGCCCTCTGGTTACACTTCAGTATTAGAGCGAAGAGGCAGTGGATGAACAGCTACAGCATTTCAGCCGTTGAGGAAGGGTCTCCCCTTGCCCATAGCTCGCTCCCGGGCTGGTGGCACCTTCTTCTCCCTCTCCTGGCTTTTGGGGGGGACATTTTCCCAGTGGAGTTTATTTTAGCTGTAGTTGCTCAATAGCCAACTCTCTCGGAGGAGTAAAAAAAAAAAAAATGCATTTGGACCTGGCAAATTCGTATAAAGCCAAGGAATAAAAGCGACTGGTTTGTAATGCTGCGGAGCTGTTCCCTGCGGGTGCTCCTGAGGGACATGGCTGTAGAGGACCCTGTGGGGTGTCTCGGGGGTGGCATATGCCACATGAGGACACTGCGTTGGCCACAGGCAGGAGGTCTGGCTGTGCCCTGAGCCCCGGCAAACCCCGGGGACTGGGGCTTGCATGGGGTGCCAAAGCTCCCCTCTCCCACGGGGCAGCCTGGCTGTGAGCTGGGAGCATCGCTGCCCCACGCGATGCACCGGTGACGATGCTGCGGGGAGCTGTGCGTGCTGACGGTGCCCCAGGTACCACTCGGACACCCCGAGGGACACCGTGTGTCCCCTGCTTTGAGGATTGCTCCAAGCCATCCCATCCCAGGGAGGACACGGAGGCTGGGGCAGGGAGGTCAGGCCCGGGCGGGGCCCCGGGCCCCCCAGCCCCTCTGTGTGTCACCCTCCAGCGATGCCCCACCGCTGCATCCCGCCTGGAGGAGGTGGTGCCGGCCCGGGGCAGGCGCTGGGGGGCCGGTAATGATTTGCAGGATGGCGAGGGG